GTAAAAGAATTAAATCGAATTCGTGTACCAAGCGACAATTTTCGTCTCTGCACTCCATGCAGTCCATCATGCATTTGGGATGGAAAAAGACCCTTGACAAGACTTACCAATATTATTGGTTTGCTAAGATGAATAAATATGTAAGGATGTTTGTTGATAGCTGCATTACATGTAAAACTGTTAAGGGTTCATCTGGGAAGATACATGCCGAGTTACATCCAATTCCAAAAGTGAATGTCCCATGGCACACGGTGCATATCGACATTACTGGGAAATTAAGTGGGAAGAATGATCTTAAGGAATATATGATAGTACTTGTCTTAACAAAATTTGTTTATTTGTTCCATACTTTAAGATTAGATTCTGACAGTTGTATTCAGGCAATGAAATCATCTATTTCTTTGTTCGGGATACCGCAGCGTATAATAACTGATCAGGGTACATGTTTTACTAGTGGGAAGTTTTCAGAATTTTGTACATCACAGAAGCTTAAGCTTCATCTTATAGATAGAGGAGGAAGCCGTGCAAACGGTCAAGTTGAACGTGTGATGAGTACAAATAAGAATCTACTGTCAGCGTTTGAATCGAGTCACCGACCGTGGCAAGATGCTTTAGGTGAGGTACAACTTGCCTTAAATCGCACAGTTAGTAGTGAAACCAAAGCAAGTCCCCTAGAGTTTTGGGTTTGATTCCACCATATGATACAGAGATGGAGATAGATTAAATTAATGCTAGAAATAGGGCAATTGAAAATATGAACAATCAAGCTAGTTATGACAAATAAGGTATGATAAAAATTTATTTATTTATTTATATAAAGCTAGCGGTTGGTTGTAAACTAAAGGCTAACATAGGATATTGAGCATTGGCTGCTGTGGCCTACCGCTCGATTTAATGTATACAGATTTTAGTATTATACAAAGGACTTAAAGGCTAGATTTTGTGGCTGAGGTTGGCTTTGTGGAGAAAGGAGAGGATTTTCATTGAGTTTTCTGTTGTTGGGTTTGCAAGGACTTGGTTTGGATTTTCGTGGGAGAAGGATGAGGTTCTATGTTGGGAAAGTGTAGTGCAGTCGATTAATATGTGTTTTATATCTATTGTGGCATTATTGCATAAAGGACAAGTGTTTTGTATTGTTCTATTAATATAGTGGGCGTTTGTGATTTGTGTGTGGCCTAGACGTAGTCTATTGATTATTATTTGTTGTTGTCTGCTAAGGTTTGTGGTTTTGAGGGAGTAGTTTAAAGGGGTGTTGAGTGCAATATGTTTGTACCAATGGTTGCATTGGTTTTGCAGATCTTTTTCTATGTGACTGTAGTAATTTTTGAGGTGTTGTGTGATATCTTTGGAGTTGAAGTTTTGGGTAAGAATGAGTGGATAATTGTAAGCTTCCTTGGCTGTTCTGTCCGCTCTCTCATTCCCTTTTATGCCTACGTGGCTTGGGATCCAGATAAGTATAATTTTGGGGAAGAGTTTGGTTATTATGTTTCTGATTGCGCTGGGTAGTATGAGTGGTTGTTGGAGTTGGTTATGGCTCTTAAGGAAGATAGGGAATCAGAGCATATAGCGAACTTTCCTGAATTTTTCTTGCAGAATTGTACCGCTTCTACTATGGCTATAGCTTCGCTTGTGAGGACAGAAGAGTAATAGGGTAGGAGTCCGGTTTTAATGGTGTTGTGGTCGTTGGTTATGCTAAAGCTAACAATGTCGTTAGTCTATGAGCCGTCGGTGTAGAGGAATTGATGGTTGGGGAGGGAGTTTTTTATAGAGTGGAAAAGTTGGTGGAAGGTTATAGGGGTGTGGTGTTTTTGTTGTAGTGGGATAGGGATGTGTTTGTGGCTTTTATGATTATTTCTGGGTTGTATATTTTGGATAGGTAGTTTTTAGCAGGGGAGAGATGGAGGGATATGGATTTGCAGGAGTCAATTATTGTATCAATTGTGCTGGGGTACCTGTATTTTTTTTGTTGGTTCGAGAAATTTGCCAATTGGGGAGTCATGCGAGTGGATCAGTTTAGTTGCTAGTTTGCTAGTGTGGTATTTTTGTCTGATTAGAATAGGGCTTATTTTTGATTCAGTCAGTAGATTATTTGTTGGTGTTGTTCTGAAGGCACCAAGCGCTGCTCCTATAGCTGTGTGCCAAATCAGTATGTGCGCATGCGGCAATCCTCTCTTCTGCCATTCTACTGAATACATCCAGCACCGCACAGATCCAAAAACTCCATGTTTCACAATAAAAAACCATCAGAGACTTGAGCTTTTGTCTGAAAACACGGGCTGTGATGTCATGCCTATCCCTATACGATTGTCCAGGAAATAACAGCTGTACTATCTCGTACCGAGCTGGATTGCATGTGAAGGTGATAAAGAAGTCTGGACGGCCGTAGCAACGAACATATGCCATGGCATCTTGAGCATATTCCTGCATGTGGCGTGGACTACCTATGTATGAGGATGGCAAAATCGTGAGCTTTCCAACGTTGGTTGTATTACGGTCATTCATCACAGCATCCCGCAAATGTATATATTCATCGGACCGAAGTTTCGTCTGATTCAATCGGAGGAACAGCAAACGTTCTGTTTCAATTTTTGCATACATATCGACAATGTACTGATGAAACAACTGACGACATTTCAATATATGATTGTCACCGGTCCTCCGAACCATTAACCGGTATGAGTAAAAGTTAATCGAGCTGCACTTTTTATTCGTTTCTACACCATTGACTGGATCTACCATCCTCACATTGAAATGGTATCCATCGGCACCATCCCAGAAGATTAGTGGATACTGCAAAGCATCGTAACAACGGTGAGTTTCTGCGACGTTTAGCAATCGATCGTTTCGTCGATGGAGAATAATATCTCGAGGTTGGAACTGATCCCCGACTATGACAATTGCCACTTCGTCTATAGTTGGAGCATTATATCTCCTGATATGTTCTCCAGCAGGCGTTTTGTCTGCATGAATGACAATTTTATTGGTATCCGAAGGTATCATATCGATTGCTGTTTTGAATAAACGCACCAAATTGTTGTTCGACAGGAAATGCTTCGATTCAGCAGTAGATCCAGCGAATAGAGAGTGCAAAGGCTCTGGTGGTGCTTCAAGTTGAGGCAATTTCACTTTCCCGAAAGCGCAACACAATCCTTTTGGTTCGTTTTTGAATTTGAGAGCCTGACAGTATGTGCACACCTGATGCATCCGGCCAACGCGCTTCAGCTACCCTTGCCCTGTCGCGTTCATTATTTTGAGAGTGAATCAAATCGATTGCTGCAGAACGCGACTGCCTAACTCTCAATCGTTTTCTCTCAAGCCTATCTGCTCGTCTTTTTGCTGATTCTTCCTTGTGCATCTGCATTGCTCTCAGCCGCTCAGTCTCTTCTATGGAGGCCCGCTCTTCGTTAGTCATATTCGTAATCTTACGTCTTTTCGCTTCTGTATTGCGAGTACGACGACCCAAACTCGACTTCTTGGGTAGACTTCGTTTCTTACTAAAACTGAACAAAAAAATAAAATTTTAATCTCCTATTTCTTCTTTCAATATTTTTGGGATGTTTGACAGGAAATGCTTCGATTCAGCTGGCTGCCTGTAGTGGGCGCAGCAGTAGGGGCACGGGGAAACGCGAAAAAAACTGATATATTCGCAAACGCAGATAAGCTATCAACATCGAAAGTAGACAATAACCGAGCTGGAACCTCAACGCATGTTGTGTCAAAATTTGGGCTTAAAAGGTTCAGAACTTTTCAGTGAACTTCCCAGTGACATTATCTGGTAGGCACCAAAGTAGCGAAGTCTGAAGCAGAAAAGATGTTCCGGTGTCTCTTGCTCTGTAGTTTGCTTACAGCTTCTACAGATTGTATTGTGTGACAGTCCCATCTTTATTGCATGCGATCCGATCGCCCAATGTCCCCTGGTGACTGCCGTGATCCTGCTGATATCCCGTTTGCTGTTGGATAGCAGTTCACTGGTTCGTTTTTTGTCGTATCTCAGCCAACATTCTTTTGACCTTCAGTGCTCGCTCTGACTTGCTTGAAGTAGTCATGGATCCTTTTCTGGATCGCGTTTATGGAGATCGGTAGTTCAATGTACGTACTTAGCCCTGCTGTGCCTGCACGGGCTAGATTGTCTGCCTTTTCGTTCCCTGGGATCTCGTTGTGTCCCGGTACCCAGGTTACTTCTACCTCATTCTTATCAGCAAGTCTGTTAAGGGCCTTCTTGCATTCTGCTAGCCGTGAGTTTGTTTTCACGGTAGCTAGGGATTTTAAAGCCGCTTGACTAGCCGAGTAGATCCGTACTTTGGTGTCCCTGAGGTCCTGCCTTGAAAAGAGTTCGACTGCTTCCCTTATGGTTAGTAACTCAGCCTAAAAGACCGTCGCTGAGTCTGAGAGATTAAATGCCTTTTCAATTCTCCAATTTTCAGCGTAGATCCTAGCCTCTACGCCACAGCTTAACTTAGAGCCATCGGTGTAGAGAAACACCTCGTACTTTACTACCACTTTGTGCCTGCTCCACATTTCCCTTGTTGGATATAAGGTCGACAATGCGTTCCCGAATTTCAACTCCGTAGTAGTCATGTAGTCAGTTTTTTCGTTTGCATTTATACCGTTGCTTACAAGAATCTTGCCGTGCCCGGCGCCGTATGCCCTCCAGCAATTGCTTGCCTTCAGTCTCACTGCGCTCTGTGCTGCAATGTGCTTAACGAACAGTTCTATCGGCATTATATATAAGATAGCATTGAGGACAGCCACGGGGCATGAGCGCATTGCTCCGTGTCAGCTTCGTTCTGTTGTATGCTCTAGTTAGTGCCGGGCACCATACTAGGGCCTTTATCTGGCAGTATATACGTAAACGTTTATTAACTGATGGTTTTTTTTTAATAAAGACAATCCAAATAATGATTATAGACGATCTATAATTGCATTTTTCCAACTTCATCTCCACAAGCGAAGTTACCAGTGTTAGTAATACAATTTATTAATGTTTTAAATATACTTACGGGATAAGGTTTTTTACTTCCGTTTGCTGTTCAGACTTTAAAAGTGAGTAGCCGGGTAGATTTTCCCCAGAATCAAACCAACCAAGCTCTGTGCGCAATTGGGCAAAGCATTCCAAGTGATGCCACAAGGGCTGACCACCATACTTCATTCCTACTTCAGTATCATAAACAGTTTTACGTATACGCACTTGATCTTTGCATATTTTTTGTTCACATCCACGACAGGAAGATCGACCGGATTTTGCATATTCAACTCCAAAATCTTTTAATGCTACGCTATCAACCTTTAAACGTTTTTTTCCAGTTTTTACACACACAACTTCAGGTACTGTAGCTGTAAAAACAAATGGAATTAAATGTAATGTGATATTTTATACTTTTTACACATACCAATAAGATGCTCTAAGTCCTTTTGGTCATTAAATCGTAGATTTTCAAAATTATAAATGTCTCCCACCGAGGCTGGTCGTTGTTTCTTAAAAAAACAGTTTTTATGAAACCAGTTCGGAACTTTCGCGTCGTGAAATGCAGACTAAAATAAAATCGAATAAATAATGTTATCTTTGTTATATTAACAAAAAAAGCATAATTTCAACTATTGGAAATATTTAGTGTTATAAATATTAAAAAAAAAAAAAAATTAAATGCCAAAAAATATTCCAATCTTAGTCTTATTAAGTTTATATTGTCATTTAATTTGATTTCTCGAAACCTAATTAACTATAAAAATACCCCAAACCATTGATTGTATGATTTATGTTGGTAGAAATGCGCTCCCAACAGAACAACACATAGCACAAGACAATACATTGTGTAGTACAACTTATAAGCTAACTTAATCGTTTTGACGTATGAACTTGATCTCACCCACTGATAGGAGCATCTTAATAAAAAGACGTCTTTATTTGTTGAGTTTTATTTCAAACTACGTTGTTATTTCTTTAAGTCCTAGCTTAGGTAGCTAACATGAAGTTCACATAGTCTAATCGTAACTCTAATTAGACCAACGCAGTGGCAAAATGGTCCCCAGGATGGGGACAATCTTCAGTGCGGGTAATTTCCACTGCACTATATAACTTATCTCCAAGGAAATGTTTTACGACCGCTTGCATCTAGGGGATGAACACACACAGGAGTTCGTGTAACAGTCAATCGGTGTTTATTTTTAGATCTAAGCAGACAAATGTTTACAATACATTGCTGCAGAGTTTTGTCGTTTTACATAAAAATCTTATATACTCTTATTATCCATGTTTATATAATAACACCCACTGACTTTTAAATATAGAGACTTCCGAAATATTGACATTGATTAACCTTATTAATTTTATTTAAAACTTTACTTCCCTCGTTCAGAACTTTTTATACTTCATTAAAATATTTTTTGTTTTTACTGCGTTCTGCTTACAATCCGCAAGAATGGTAAACCGGTCCGTTCTAATATATGATAATAAAAGGAGATCGATTAAACTTTGGGACGCAGATTTTAAGGAAGGGAAACGATTAAAAACTAATACTTTAAAAATAACCGTGAAACGATTTACTTCTGCAATTATTTTAAAATGGCTTAGTGCCAACTTAGATTGTAAGTATTAGGTGGAAAGAGGCATCTCCATCATCATAAAGATTGTGTATGCTTCTTACACATCACCAGTCGAGTCAATTTAAGTTTGTCTGCCTGCCCAAATATATTCAACACACACAGAAGTTGCAAGCATATCAACTTGTTTTAAAATTGGTCCACACCAATTTTCCGTCCTCACAAGTTATAAAAAATGAAGGTAAGTTAATTAAGAGGAGTCTATTAGAATATGACGTTAATTTGTAACGAACGGGCTCTTATATTCCTTCGACCACCGTTTTATAAATTTAAGCACACCCCTGACTTTATTCACCATGGACAAAATATGATCGATAAAGACAAGTTTAGAATCTAAGTAGATGCCCAACTAAAGAGCAGCAGTTCAGGGTGTCTGTAGGGGGCGATCCTGCCGCTAAAGATCCTGGAAAATGTAGCCCAATGAAAATTCCCACGTCGCAAGCGAAGTCGAAGAGTAAGGCGGGAGCGTCGTGGGCAATTCAAAAATCGTCAGCTTTATTGCGCTGCATACATGGTACTAATTAGCTTAAACGTAAGGGCTGCGCTCCCGACCGATAAGCTAAGCTTAACAGTGCGAGAGCGGGCCCGAGAAGTGGAGCGCGAACTAGCCGTCCCTCAGCTCGCCTAGCAGCGAGCGAAGCTCGGGAACTCGGGAGCGGGAGTTCGCGAACATCGAAGAGTGGGCGCGGGAGCGCTTAGAAGTAGCCCGATGAGCCGTGCGCGAAGAGCCGACTTGAGGGAGTGCAAGAGCGGCCAAGCTTTGGAAACTCGGTGGACAGAGGCGGCACCGCGAAGGGCCTCCTGACGTGAACATTCTCCCCCCCCCCCCCTTTCAATCACTCGGGTTGCAACATATTCGTCCTGTATAAGCGCTGCCGCGTTCGGCAGGGTGTCCTGGCTAGCGGTGGAAGTTTCCTATGCGCACCGGAGTGCAGCTGAGGAGCTGTGGACGAAGGCCGTGGAGTGGCTGAGGAGTGCCGCAGGATCCTAGAGAAGACGTCGCGTCGGTAGCGGATGAAGTTCGGTGGCAACCTCGGAATCTGTTGGATTGGACCTCTGATCAGAGCGTTCGCGTGGTGCGAAGCGGTGGCATCTTCTTGAAGCGGACTGGAAAAAATATATCATTTAGAAGAGCGGTCAGTAAATAACGCGAATTGGGAGTACGGAGTCATCCGATGCTGCGATCGGGATGCGGGAACTGGACTTCCAGGCATATGCAGGAGCGTGTGGTGATGTTGGAACAGTAACGGTTGGTGGACACCGCGCTGAGCCTCTTCTCAGCACTGAGCCTGAGAAACCTTTTGCATTTTCGAAGCGGATGGATTCCGCTGCAGACTCGGCATGGGTAGGATAAATTACCTCGGGAACGTCTGCTCTTGATGTCGTAGGGTGCCCAGTAATTGAGGGCGTTGGGAGTAGTGATTCGCGTGGAGAACGCGGATATCCTTTGGATCGGTGCGGTTACTGGGCTGGAAGGTTCAGGAGCAATCTGAACACTGGAGGAAGAGTTTCTGGGATGCAGCAGGGTGTGATGCCGTCTGCGGCATGTAAGGCAGGAGTGGGCACTGGGGCAATCCCGCTGCTGATGGCCTCGTGCCAAACAATTCAGGCAGACCTGCTTTCTCTTAATGTATTCGGAGCGCCCACTCACGTCCATTTCAAGGAACCGTGGGCATAAGCGCACGGGATGGTTCTCTCGGGAACAGAGATCGCACCCCTTGGGGGCAGGCGCCACTCGGGTCTCGTACGAGTTGAGTCTGCGAACCGGAGGGCTCGTGGGTGCCGACCTGACATCGTCGATGGCCTCCAGAGTGCGATCACGCTCGGTCAAAGAAGCATCCAACTCCTTCCAGGTTGGGATTTCGGCTTTGTTGTGGATGGATTGTTCCCACAGAGAAAGGGTTACTTTGGGAACCTTTGAGGAAACCATATACACCAAAAGACAATCCCAAGCCTCAACTTGAATGGAGGACATTTCTAGCGCGGTCAGGCAGCTTTGGATGGTGCTTTGCAGTTCCTTCAGCGCGACTTCCGATTCTTGAGGGACATCCTGGATGTTGAAGAGAATTTTCAACTGGCTGTTAACCAATAATCTTCGATTTTCGAAGCGGTCGGTGAGGCTTCGCCACGCCGAGACGAAACCTTCATTGGTGAGCGGGGCCTTGGAAACTATGGCGTTCGCGTCGCCACTTGTTATCGACAATAGGTGGAACAATTTTTCGACTGGTGTGACCCGAGAGTTGTTAATATAAATCGCCGTGAACAAGTCCCTGAAGGTGGGCCAGTGAAGATAGTCGCCCGCAAACACCTCGGTGTCTACCGGTGGTAAACGACAACCGGTGGAAGGGGTGTGTGGGCGCTGCTGGGAGCCTGAGTGGACTGAGCCGCGCCCCGTTCTATTATCTCCTGCAGCTGGGCCACGCACCTGGAGCAGACTGAGTAGCAGTAGCTATACTTAGTTTCTAACACCGTTGAAGTGTCCGCGCCGTCGTCGGACCCGAAGAACAGTTCGGAGCAGCTTTCGTAACTCGACTCCACCTTTTCCCACAAAGCCCGGATTTGGTCCCTATGAACCTGGCACATGTAAGGGGAGAATCGTTCAGGCTCCAGGGCGCCCGGAGTGTGGATCGTAGCCTCGAAGTGGCTAACCCGATCTGTGGTGGCAATGAAGCGCTTGAGAGCGGCATCTATCGCATTCTGAGCCATTTTTGCAGCTGACCGAGATGTTACCGGCGAGGAACCACGAATGGTATCGACAGACTCGTCGCTTTTTGCCCTTGAGATGGCCGTAGTAGGCCTTGGCTTCAATTGGGACGCCCGTGGAGATGCGGATTGTGACCTGTCCAAGCGGATGGATGGGATCGGACGCGGTTTTTTGTCGTCTCCCGTGGGCATTCTCGGAATAGAATGCTGTAGATCAGGACTTGTCGACTGTAGGACGAGAGGACGGTCACACTAACGCGCAGTCTGGGTCGCCCAAAACGAATAAAGTGGAGAAAAGAAAAAATAGATGAACCTCGGCCACAAGGCTTGACGTTCGGATCGAGGAAGCCGACTGAAATGTCAACAACAGCCGCAGTCGCAGATCGTGGGGGTGGGAGTTCGGATTTGAGTGGTATTGGGAGTTGTCTCGCAACCCGAACACAAAAATAATTTTTTTTTAATTTTTAATTAGCCTTGAATGTCTCTTGTTTGAAGCCGTAAAGGTGGAATTTAAAAAAAAAAAATCGATTTTTAGTAGCGGAACTGCTTGCTGGGTGATGCCGTCGGCAAAGCAGTACGTATGTGAGGCGCCCAAGAATTAAACGGCCAAAACCAACAACAACTCGCCGGCTGTGGCGGCTAAGTGTAAAAATAATTAAACACTTGCCGTTGCAGTCGCAGATCGTGTGGGAGGGAATTAAAAAAATAACCCAAAAAAAACAACCCTCGCTTGTGTTTGGGTTTTGCTGCTCCGTTCAGAAGCGAAGCTTGCCCGATATATGTATGTTATAAAATGATTGTGGAGATCGATGCTCAGCGCAGCATCGCGCGAAGCTTGCCCAATATATATGTATGTATCGTAAATTTATATAGATAAAATATAGGATTTATAAATTTCGGATAATTTCAAATCCTTGGTTCACGAACTTTATTTCTTTAAAAATTTTAGGTGTCGGATTTTGTCACGTCGACACTGTTCGGCTGTCGAATGTATAAGTACAGGTGCTTGTACACGCTCTAGGCACAAAGAGGAGACGAAAAAAAAAAAAGACAAATAATTACTTGACATGCCCTTATGCGGGCGTGTATATATGTATGTATGTACATATGTAATAGCTGTGAGATCGATGCTCAGCGCAGAATAGCGCGAAGCTTGCCCAATATATATGTATGTTCGCCCAATATATGTTGGTATGTAAATATGTAGGGTTTGTATTGGCACAGTGGAG